TTCCCCCCCCCCCCCCCCCACACACACACACCATGTACCAAGCCTCGCTCAGCCCACTGACAGAAATATACAATGTTTGACCCATGATAAGAGATATGTGCACAACCTGTACTTATTCATTATGGAAACTGTACTTATCAAATGAGTGTTTTGTGTGATGTGATGTGTGCAAATGTCCTTAAACTCTGAATCAATTTACTTCTGTACATTAACCCTCTCTCTCTGACTATTTCTCCCTCAGGGTTCTCAAGGAGATGTTGGAGGCCCCGGAGCTCTGGGACCCCCCGGACCTAAGGGAGACTCTGGCGCACCCGGACCCCCAGGAACCCCCGGAATTGACGGACCCCTGGTGAGCAGCGCAAGGATATATTTCTACACAAACACGTTCTTTCTTTCTCTGCCAGAATTGGTCTGATCAGCCACAGCAGAAGCCACAAATTATCTTAACCTTTCATTCTTCTAAGTCTTCTAACTATGCTGGAGAAATGTTCTCCTCTGTGGATGTATTGGTCTGTCCCCGTGGTTTTATGCAAAACAAAATTATGAAATTATGCAAACTGAGCCCAAAAATGTGAAATTATGCGATTCTTTTAATTTTTAACAAAGAATGATAAAGGAAAATAATCAGAAATTATGCAAAATTTGATCAAATTTTACTAAATTATGCGGGGTGCATAAAACTACGGGGACAGATTGGTCAACATCAGACATTGACAGACCAGCTATTATTGCACAGTGTCTCTCAAAAGAATATTTAAGAACTATAGCAGATGCTTTTCACATTTTTTTCGAAGGCCAATAGATGTATAGCGGGATTCTTAACGTATACGGTACCTCTTAAAGAACTTTATCGTCTCTTAAATCTTTATCTGACTATCAAGGCTAACCTGGGCTGATTGATACGCAGCTTTTTATCAGAAAGACAGAGATGCTGGTACTCTAAAAAACATACTTTCATAATGAATACATTTAACGATAATGGCAATGAGTTAGTGTTACAAAGTTTTTAAGATTCTGTGGGATAAGAGGCGGCGGTGATGATTTTCAACACTGACAAAATTGAGTCCCTAAAACGGCTCTTTTATGATGGTCTACTGAAAATCTGAGCTCCCTTCTCCCCACCAGCAGTTCTACAGGGAGGTAATTTGTTGTTGACATACCAGTGTTAGAAAGTGTTAAATGTACTGTGCTTGAGTAATACCTAAGACACTTTTGCGCTGTGCATAAGATGTTGTTATCAATCCAGTTGTTGTTGTGTTGTTTATGTTATTGATCCAATTGTTGTTGCTGTTGTTATCAATCCAGTTGTTGTTGTTGGTGTTGTTATTGATCCAGTTGTTACTGTTGATGTTGTTGTTATCAATATTGTTGTTGTGGTTGTTTTCTATCCATTTGTTGTTGTTTTTGTTATCGATCCAGTTGTTGTATTTGTTGTTGTTATTGTTATCGATCCAGTTGTTCTTTTATGGATCCAGTTGTTGTTGCTGTTGTTATCAATCCAGTGTACATAAGATAAAATGTGGTAACTGTGTATCATACTCTTGTGACCCGCTGTTTCCGGGGTGCCTTGATAGTCAAAGCAGACTTTGTGTTGTTGAAGCTAGAGAGGTGAACAGAGTAAGCCTGATTCCCTGTTAAGACTTCTCTGTTGACATCCATCCCTTGGCGCTCATATGACCTTATGCAGTTGCGAGCGCCGTAAAACCCTCTACTACTGGTACTAATCCAGTTGTTGTTGCTGTTGTTGTTATCGATCCAGTTGTTGTTGTTGCTGTTGTTGTTATCGATCCAGTTGTTGTTGTTGTTGTTTTTATCGATCTAGTTCTGTTATCGATCCAGTTGTTGCACATGTTGTTTTTGATGTTGTTGCTGTTGTTATCCATCCAGTGTAGATAAGATGACATGTGATATCTTTGTATTCGTCTGTGTGTAGGGATCCCCCGGACTTCAAGGAGCCAAGGGAGACGAGGGACGTCCCGGTCTGCAGGGAGATCCCGGCCCCCGCGGTGAGCGTGGAGAGGATGGAATCAAGGGACACATGGTGAGTGCCGGCTCCTGATTGGTGCTTCATTCATGCATGTGGGACTGGGTGGGTACAGTTGAAAATCTGCTTAAATCTTGCCCTGGATGGGTACAGTGGGTAGTTGGTGGGTGCTCTGGTGTGGTTTGCTTGCTCCTTCTTTCCTTCCTATCAAACATCTATCGTCCTTATCTTCCCTCCTTCTTTTTTGTGTTTGTTACTCTCTTGTAACACCTCTAATAGTCGGCACTTATATGACCTTATTGTGTTGCAAGTGCCGTAAAACTCTTACTAAAACAAGGGGTGGATACAGTTGCTTTATCTCTTGTCCTAGGTGGGTACAGTTGAGCTGTTTTAACTTTTTCTTTGTGGATGAGTATTCTTCATTTCTACTCTTGCCCCGAGGATAAGTATTCTTCATTTCTACACTACCTGTTTGTAGAGTTTCGTGATATGTGTATTTATAAAGCATAACATACGACAGCTTTGACTAATCTCTCTATCTCTCTTTCTCTCTCTGTTTTTCTCTCTTTCTCTGTCTTTCTCTCTCTCTCTGACTCTCTCTTTCTCTCTCTCCCTTTTTCTCTTTCTTTCCCTGTCTCTCTCTCTATCTCTCTCTCTTTCTCTCTTTCTCTCTCTCTCTCTCTCTCTCTCTCTCTGTATGTATGTATGTATGTATGTATGTATGTATGTATGTATGCAGGATCTCCAGGACCTCAGGGTAACCCCGGAACCCCCGGAGCTG